AAGCCAAGAGCCTTTCTGGCAGGGCACGGTAGATTTGATTGTCAAGTGTATTCTTAAGTTGAATTGGAGTCAAAAATAATGCTCCTTTGGAAGATATAAGTGAAATCTTAACTCATCAACATGAAACCTGTCTTCTGTAGGCACCTCTCAAGGAAATCGTTATTATAGAAAAAAAGACTGAACTTTTCTTGAAAGTTTCTTTATTATTGCTTACTTTTTGTTGTTAGTCAAGTCAGATTGCTTTTTTTTTAGTTATGTTAGCTTATTTTTTCCATCCTAACCTGTGATGTAAAAGAGACTGTGGAGAGAGAGACAAGAAAAACTGCAGAAAGTAAAGCTCACACATTTATTGTCAGATATTAACAGTCATGCAATGAGGAACTGAACATCTGTGTGTGTGTGTTTGGGAGAGTGTGACAATCATCAATAATCAGTTGGTCATAAAGCACCTTAAGGACTAGTTATGCAGATAAACTTTCATCTTAGGTTAATGCATATGATTTAAAAGAGATTTCCAGACAGAGGAGCTTGATAGTCTAGGACAGGGGTGGGCAATTAATTTTTACAAGGGGCCACATGAGAAACCTGAACTGTGTTGGAGGGCTGTATGTAGGTAGATCCAAAGATTTCCTGGGATGTCCTCAACCCTCCTCGTTACAGTGCGTCGGGAGAAGGCACGTTCTCATATGCGCCCTTTTTCTCCAGGCATATTAGTGCTGCAGGCTCCAACAAGCACTCCTTAATAAACTCTCTGTCAGAAAACGGCTTATTTTTTCTGGTGATTTTGTGGGATATGACACAACTTGTCTTGAAAGCTGCATCTCTGGGTGTGGAAAGTTTTGGAAAAAGTCTTTGTTGGTTATGCAGTTTCACTAGCAAAGCATCTGACTCTCTTGCGCGCTCTTCATCCGACAAGTTCTTGTATTTCTTCTCATGTTTGGTCACGTAGTGGCGATTCAAATTGTAATCCTTGAACACAGTGACCTGTGTACCACAAATTAAGCGCACCGCTTTACCTTTGACTTCTGTAAACAAATACTTTCCAGTCCATGTCTTGTTGAAAACGCGGCATTTGGCATCAACTTTTCTTTTTTTGGCGTGAGTTGACATTTTGAGGGTTAGCTGGCCAACATCACCTGTCTCTCACCCGGTAGGTTGGGGATCTTAAGTTCACCCGTGAATTTTTCATTCATGTTCTGATTTGATGGACCTCACGCGGGCCGGACAGGGACGCCCAAAGGGCTGGATGTGGCCCGCGGTCCGTAAAATGCCCAGGTCTGCCCTAGGATGTGTTCCCTATTTGACATCACAGCCTTATGTCATTGAAAATGTCCTGGAAAGTTATTTCTTGAAAAGAGTGGGAATGCTGCTAGGGGTGTTTCTTGTTTTCATCTTTATATGTCTTGTGCTGATCATGTCCCTGAAGTTATGAGTCACCGGAGGCCTTCCGTTGTTATTTCTCTGAGCACATTAGACATTCCCGGGGCATGTTGTGTCATTCTGTGTGGAGTTTCTGTTCCTGTTCTTATCATGGATGTGTGGAACAGAGTGGCACTCTGTCTCACAAAGTTCATTCCTCCAGTTTCTCTTCTGTGGTCCAGGGATGGATGCCAAAATCAAAGGAGCTTTTGTTTTTATGCAGAAATGTGGGTACCGGCCATTTCAGCTTTCCTCTGCTGTCTTTGTATTAGTCTCCACTTCTCTCCCTCTTTGCTTCTTTTCTGGCATCTAGCATCTTCTCCTCCTCCTGTCCCACTCTTGATTTCAATATACTCTTTGCTTATTCTCTTACTTTATCTTCCCTGCTGTTCCCCTCACTTTACTCTTCATTTTACATTTTCTGGTCTTCGATTCTTGTCTTGTTTCATGCATTTTTTTTCCTTCACATCTCTGAATCTGACATCCTTTCCTCCTCTGTGCCCTTGCATTTGTCTCTCTCTCCATCCTCTCCTATCGCCCTCCTCTCAGTGTTCCTGCCAGCGGACGTAGCCCATTCGGTGCTGCAGCGGCTGCGCAGGGCCAACTTCTTGCTGGAGGAGATGAAACAGGGTAATATCCAGAGGGAGTGCCGTGAAGAGATCTGCACCTATGAGGAGGCCCATGAGGCTTTTGAAAATGACGAGAAGACGGTGAGAGGACAAGAGGCACATCACACCAGACCTACAGATTATTCCTATCGTGAATACTAAATACACACATGCCATCATTGTGTATGGTTACATGAACATAAACCACATAAAGGGATAGTTCTTTTTGAACATTGGTGGTTTGAGTTAATCTCCAGTTGTAAAAGGAAAAAAAAATCAAACTATCCCTTTAAATTGCTAGAGTTTATTTCCAAAAAAAACATGCAGTGTGTGGTAGCTTGTGGAATGTCGTGGTTTTCAGTAAGTGATGATTAAGAACAGCTGAGTGTGTGCTAGAACAGGAGGTGTGTTTGTAAAACTATTGTGAGAGGCCAGAGAGCAAAGTCATGCACAATCATGTGGTCTCTTTTGTTCGGGTGTTGTTGTCTACTTCCTTTGTGTTACAGTAATCCAGATAAAAATTATTCCTACAGTTGGACGCTCTTTTCACTTGGTTTTTGGAAGCAATTTCGTGCTGCCATGTTTATATTGTAGCCTTGCATGAATGTAGCTGAGTATTATACGGATCTTGTGATGATTTTAAAGGTATGTGTGTCTGCTTTGACTGCAGAGACGGTTTTGGGAGGAATATGTACGGGAGAGCAGCCCATCTGGAGGGCTGGAGACAGTGGTTGGTGGAGTTCACTCTCTCTACGTGATCATACCATTGGTGCTGGTTCTGATCATCATCGCCGCCGTTGCCATCAGTGTGTGGCGCTGCCACTCCCGCAAACGCTCACAGCGCAACCACAGCCTGGGACACTCGCATCATGACCATGTCCTGGCAGTGGTCTCTGTGGACAACTCGGGGAGGGATTACCACCATGGGGACCAATCGGAGCTTAGTGTTCCCAGCAGCCCAGCTTATCCGGGATCAGAGCTCACATCAGGCAGAGGAAGTGCTGGAGAGCCACCACCGTCCTACGAAGAGGCTGTGGGCCACACAGATGTCCAGATAGAGACCGAGCCACCTCCACAGTACGAGGATATAGTCAACACACACACTACTAGTGTCAACAGTGGCCAATGGAAGTAAACATGTCTTTCACTGCCACACCAGGTAAAGCCCTCACCTACACTAAGACTTCTATCTTGTCATGTAGCATTGGTGTTGTTGTGGTATCACCAGCCTTCCCCAGTCAACACAAACAGGGACACTGTTCGCTGTCTGGTTAAAGGGCTAATGCAATCTTTGCCAGAGCCAGCGTTGTTGAAACATGCACTAGCCTTTCATCAGTGAGGTGAATTGATGGCAGGAGAGAGCAGATAATGCAATACCAAAACCAACAAACGCCTCTCCTGAAATTCAAGTTGCACCTATTCTGTCACTCTTTAGCAAATTGTTTAACTCTGCAGGCATAAGAAATGTTGCATGTGGTGTAAAGACAAAAAACAAAAAAAGACTGATAATGGAGGACAACTATTCTAAAAGTGTATAAAGATGTTGGACTTATGCTTTATTGAAGGTTAGTGCCAAATTTCTAGATGTAAGTGTCTAATGGGAGGTGTTTAGAAACTATTTTAGTGTGTTTAAATTGGACCTAATATTTTGTATACAACAAATACAGTGAAATGAAACAAAATAAAGTTGAATTAATTGCATTTTGACCACTAGGGGGCAGAAAGAATCTAAAACACAATAGAATCAGGCTTATCCTTTATTTTGGTCAGACCGTTGTAATAGCAAACACTTACATGATCTCACACTCAGCAGACCCAAAGTGCGGACTGTTACCACCTGACTGTCCAGTATTTACTTGTTAGCTCTGGTTTGATAGAGTCATTCCTGATAAAAATATTCAGGTCTATAGTCAGTCACTCATTTCAGTACTATTTCATGGTGCACAGGTAGTGGATGTCTGGCTTGCCTGAGTTTAACTGGTAAATAGTTGGCCACAGTTTATTTCTGGTTAAAGGGAGCGTTGAGAGCCAGGTTTACTGAAAATATTTAGGCCAAGAAACCAAAACAATTAGCCAAAAATGTGTGGACTGCAGAGTTTTACTTTCTGTGGGTTCAGAAACACTAGTAATGGTTCAATATTACAACTGATAGTTCTTGATATCACAAATACCACCTATTGCAGATTTAAATAATCAAGTTGCCCAACTTGTGCTGCAGTCCAACTTCTATATACACTTATGAATGGTTTTCAGTTTAGATGTTAAGATAAGACCACCAGTTATGAAAGGGTGATGAAATACATTTTGTGAATGTGTCATGTGTGCTTATATTTTAGGACTGCATGCAGCTCGGTCATTAGAGGTGGGATCTGGCTCTGCACTGTTTGTTGATGGGCAGTGGTCACTGGTCCATGTCCATCTTGTTAATAATTGCATAGATCCTGCTTTGACTGTGAAAATCTTTCCCCCCTCTTTCCCCTAAAGCAGATTTAACTGCTGGATACATACACTCACCGGCCACTTTATTAGGAACACCTGTACAATTGTATGCAGTTCAATGTAACACTTCTGCCTTAACATCTATGTTTATGAAGCTCCGTTTTTGGTGAAATTGTCAAATGTATAAATTCAGTTATGCTTATTATTGAGGTCATAGTTGAACTGGACTACATTATATTCAGAGGTGTCTCTATATTTTTCCTCTCCAGCTACAGACATGAGAGGGTAAAATTATTAGGAACACCTTTGAATATAATGTAATCCAGTACAACACCACCTTTAACTGTGGCCTCAATAATAGCATTTATACATTTATGACAATTTCACCAAAAAGTGAGATATTTTGAGCTTCATAAAACACGTGTTAAAGTGGAAGTGTTGCTTTGAATTGCGTACAGTTACAACTAATAAAATGGCCGGTAAGTGTATGACTACACAGTCTTTTGCTGTGCTACTTCCACCTAAGGTATACTGAGGAGGATTTATGGAAGCTCATCCCTGCCGAAACATTGGGTGTCACACAAACCACATTTTGACTGCTGCTGAGTCTGCTACTCAGCATTTCAGAGTGCACAGGCACAGATTTGTAAACACAGACTCAGATTTGAGAGTGTAATCTCGGCCATGTGTGCACTTCTTCCTAAGTCTGCACTCTCATTTCTCCACATGGTTTTGTATAAAAGTCTGTCTGCGCCAAATGTTTTGAAAGTGCACAAAACATTTTTTGAGTGCTACTCGGTTTGCAAATCAGAATTAGAGAGTGTGCAGGTGTAGAAATATGAGCGCACCACTTCAGAAACGAGCACACGTATGCTCAGGATTACACTCTCACATCTGATACTGCGCTCACAAATGTGTTGGGTGTGCTCTCCATTGCTGAGTTGCAAACTAGCTCTCAAACGTTTTGGCCAGGATGTACTTCAATAGGAATTCTTCAGTTCGGTTTGCATCTATCTACATAGTAGTTATGGAGTGACTTGCACAAGAAAGTGGGACAGACAGCAACAGAGACAGGAGCTTTGGGGAAAAAGTCATCACAGAGTGGAGATTCTGTAGTTAACATCACTACGGCCACAGTCTGTGTTTAGCATGTGTAATGTACCTGTATATAAACTTGTATAGTCTGTACTGTATGTTTGAATGTCAGTTACTGTGAGACAGTTTTTACTCCACAGAAGTGCAGTGAATGCATTGATGTTAATGTAACTATTGCACACTAGGTTGTGACTAAATGAAGGCACTTTGTGTGTAAGCTCAAAATGAGCTGTTTAATGAAAACTAGGACAGTCTGGTTTGGCGTCTACATCGTCATTCTCAGCAATAACAATGTCACTGAAATTGTCTCAGAAGACATGCTCATACTGTATATGCAATGTTGCTGCATACACTAAAAACCAAATATATCTGATGTTCACTGATAATGATACATGTCACACTTCCTGTCTATACCTCTCAGAGTTTTGAGCACTGATTACTATACCTTTTTTGTGAGTTGACCTGTGAACCTCAGCACTTGCTCAAACTGAGTTGTACTGGTAGGGGTAGGTGTTTTGATACTGGTAAGTCTTTTGTTGTACTGTAGCTTACAGAGCCCTGTTTTTACATTTATGCATTATCAAACAAATAATGTTATGTAACAAATGCAAGGAATCTTGTTATAAATCCTTTATGTGAAAAAGCTTGGATTAATTTGTAATAAAATATTTAAAACGTGCCATGTTTTCTTAATTTAATTCAGTGACAAATGATGTGATATGCATAAGTTGCTGTTTTTGACCAAGTGGGATCTGGATGGGTCCAACAGGTTAGACAGCTTTCTAGAGTTCTGTTAACTGATCCGTCATTGTAAAAATGCATGATACATTGCTGAGTTTTGTTAATTCTATACTGAATACACAAAATGGTGCATTTTTGGGAAAATCTGTTTCATGATGCTGCACAAGAAAACACTTCTACAGCAAAGCCATACAATTAGCTCTTTGATTCAAATAATTAACATTTCCAGTAGAGCAGGAATTGAGAACAAGTGGCATTCAGAGATGGAAAAACACTTAAGTAGAATAAAAGAATCATGGGAAATCAGTAGGACAGCTGTTCTGCCCTAAAAGGAACCAACTCACCTGTAGTTCTCATCTATCCTTTCTCTGGAACGGGATCCAACTTATTTACTGCTGTTCAAACAAACCAGGAAGTGACTCAATAATCACAAACATTCATTTATAAACATCACAACAATCATTTATAGCTTAACTAATGGATAATTCAGTGAAAGTTAAAAAAAATGCAGCCATCTCACAAATTTTCACTATCTGTATCGAAACAAATATTGCTAAATAGGTTTAAATACTCATATTTTTTTATAAAGTTCAAGAGATTTATTTGCCATTTACACAAGTACAGACAGTACAGGTACATGGGAATATGCTGTGCATATCTCTGTCTTCATACAAAAAAGTGCAATGTAAACAGAGTGCAGGAGATAAAAGCAGAGAAAAATGTACACAATGTATATTATCTACAGTTTTTACTAATATATTTAAAAATCTGATTTGTCACTAAACATTATTTTTATTTTTATTTTATTTTACTATTCTGGGAGTGTTAATACTAATGTGTAATGTGCCAGGGGCAGTTGAATGTTGTAGCCGGTCTAGATGGAGCTAATTTAAAATTACTTTATATGTTTTGTATGTGGGGGCTTAATTTGCAAAGTGAGTAAAATAAATGTAGTGGAAGAAAAACTATATTTTTACATCTGAAATGTGGTGAAGTGTAAACTAGCATACAATGGAAATAGTCAGGTAAGGTATAAATACCTGAAAATTGCACATAAGTGCACAATTCATTGATTGGACTAATGTAAACAGTTTAAAGTGTTATGCTGTTTGTTGGCCGCTAGGGGGCAGCTGTCAACCACTAATGTAAACAGTTTAAAGTGTTATGCGGTCTGTTGGCCGCTAGGGGGCAGCTGTCAACCACTAATGTAAACAGTTTAAAGTGTTATGCTGTTTGTTGGCCGTTAGGAGCCTAAACTAAAATAGGGGAAGAACCACTCCCTGTTCAAATTCAAATAATAAACTAGAATAATAAAAAAAAAAGAAATAGAAATAACCTAGAAACATAGCTTCAGAAGATGTGAAACCACATGTAAAACGTCTCTAATAATAATAATAACCTATCAGTGTTATGTCAGAGGTGTGCATGGACTTGGAAGGTCGTCTGGGAACACAGTGGAAAGGTCTGGGTAACGTTTCATTAGGTGGCAGAATGATATTTTCATCTACTGAGCTAGCGTTAAGTTAGCCGACTTGCCTTGGCAAAACAGGTGTGCATATCTCTGAGTCTGCATACAAATAAGTGCAATGTAAATAGAGTGCAGTAGATAAAAGCAAAGAAAAATGTACACAACTATACTATCTAAAGTTGTTAATATATTTTAAAAAAAACAGATTTTTGTCACTAGTATACAAACAGTAAAGTATTATTTTTAATATTTTACTATTATGGGAGTAAACTGGTGTTCCTGAACTGATAACCCTGCCCTGTACAGTGAGACGCAGACCACAACTTCTGGCCCTTCAGGCACCAGAAAGGTACTGTGATGGATAAAATTATGACTGTGTGCTGGAACCAGTTTATTTACTTGGAACATAGTTAGCTCAGGATGAATTAAAATAGATGTTTATGTCCTCAACAGAGCAAATAGCTAATGCTCAAACCGCATGTAAACAATTGTACAGGTGCAGCTCAATAAATTAGAATATCGTGGAAAAGTCCGTAGATTGTTATATTAGTGGCACAGCTGTATTGCGAGCCAGGCGTGTCCTCTAATTGGCTCCATGTGCGGTTATTCTTCCAATATGCTATTGTTTTGCTTTAGTGTGTTCATTTTAACAACGAAGGTAGTTGTTAAAACTTGTTTCAAGTTAATTTTGCCTTGACTTAGCAGTAACTAGTCACCTGTTCCCTGTTGGCTCAGTCTTCTAGCCTTATGGGAACGGTGTTACATATAGAATATATCTGTACTAGATTAACGTTAGCACCCTCTTGTTTTAAACACCCAACAAGTTCAATAATGTTTCAAAGACACTGGTCTGTGACACAGATGTGTGTGTTGTGGTGGAGCAACCTTTTTAGGTAAATACATGAGTACTGACTCTTTCTACAAAGTCTGTGTAAGATGGAGCCTATGTTTAGATTGAAGCCCAGACAAACATCAGCTGCCGGTCATCATTAATGAACAACCAGAAACTAAGATCATATTCAAATTATCAGCAGGTTTTATTGACAGTGGAAGCAATGCCCAGATTTAATGAGATCAAAAGCTATCAGGAAGTAACTTCACGTAAAAGAATAGTGTCCTGTTAACAATGGAGAGAATTTCATGTCTAAACCTGTTTTACTAAAGGTCTTTGAGTATCCAGAATTGAAGACCAACTGGAGGATGACTTGTATAAAGCTGGAAGTAATGGAGTCTTGTAGGGTTTTTTTTTTTTAGGTTAACCAAGGGAGACCACACATGTGATGTTGATTCACTGCTCAGTGCTTATAACGGTTAGATATTGTGTAGAAACTACTAAACAGACATGTGCTCTTAAAATGAAAACATTTCATTTTAAATTTATCATATTTATTTTGTGACACTTGTCTTTCTTTACCCCATGATACATCCTGTTCTACATTCAAGGTGGCAGTGGCCAGATGATCCTGTCTCTGTTGGCTACACAAACAAGATGCTCCAGATCATCACCAACAATGGGGAAACGCATGCTTTACTTTTTACCTCTTCTCAGGAACAAACTGACACTACACCCCTTCTCTAGTAGGCTGTGGATGGGCAAGTTCACCAGAACAATAGGAACAATGGTGTAATTTCATGTAGAGATTTGTACAAAATATTGTCCATCTTCAGAGATGCTCCGGGCGGGCATTTTTAGGATGCAGTGTATAGGGTTTGTGTTGTATGAAGGAACTTGGTGTCAGCCACCAAGCTACGCTACCCATTCGGTAGGCACACATTCTTTGGGTGGCTGTGGCTCAGGTGGTCGTTTCCTAACCGGAGGATTAGCAGTTCAATTCCCGGCTTGTCCAATCAACATGTCCAAGTGTCCTTGAGCAAGACACTGAACCCCCAGTTGCTCCCGGTTTGGGAGTGCGAATGGGTGAATGGCCGAGTAGTGTAAAAGCGCTTTGAGTGTACTGTAAAGTGTAGAAAAGCGCTATACAAGTATAAGACCATTTACATTCAGAATTTTTACTGGTTAGACTTTTAATGTTTACTCATAATAACAAGATCCAGAAATCAGGATCTTGTAATAGGCCAGAATATATTAGTTGCTATTCAAAAAGACATTCATTCCATAGTCACGAGACTGAGATTGCACAGGGATCTAAATCACACTCTGAACCCTAACCTGCTGCACCAAAGTCAGTGGTGTTAACCACTGAGCTACAGTAGCTGCCTGCTGTTTGGACACACATTTAGAACTTTTACTGGTTTCTGCTATTGGTTAATGCAGCTTAGCAAGGAAAAAGGGGTGCTTGGTTTGATAGAAAGCATCTCCCCGCTAAGGGCCCACACTGGATACTGACCACATCCTAACAGAGAAGCAAACCCCGACCTGCTGTACCCAAGTCAGTGGTGTTAACCACTAAGCTAACCACCTGAGTGGGAGAAACACACATTTTAATTGCTTAAAACATTAAAATTAACATGGTAGCACACAAATGGTCAGAGGCAGAAGCAGATTAACACACACACACACACAGTCAAAGCAATACAGTGACACACACACACACACAGAGGTTGGTCTGTCTTCAAAATACTGTACATCTGTCAGATGTTAGTAAAATTTATTCTTTTAGAACTTTAAGCCATTTAATTTCTACCTCTCACTTTGGGAATAAGTCTTCCACTGTTGGAGGAACGCGCTCAAACTCACCTTCTTCAGATAATGAAGTTAAATTTCCCAACTTCAGTCTTTCATTTCATCTTCAATAATTACTCAGCATTGCATCTCAGCCTTCAGCTATTTCAGCAATGGACTTCAGCATTTTCAGGGCAATTCTTCAGCATCCACACACATTTTCTTCACATTTGTATAGTTAATAGTTAACATTTCCAGTAGAAGAACAGGAACAGAGAACAAGTAGCATTCAGAGTTGGAAAAGCACTTCAGTAGAATATAAGCATTGCAAATCAATGGGGTTATAGGTATTAAAATTGTTTTTAATACCTATAAAAACAGTTGTCCTGCCCAAAAAGGAACCAACTCATCTGTAATACTCATTTATCCTTTCTCTGGAACAGGATCCAGATTGTTTACTGCTGTTCAAAAGACCAACAATTGATTCAATCACAAATGAAAATCAACCCCAATGTAATTAAATGTGGCTCAAGTGTGAAATTCCTTCTTATTATTCAGTTTTGATAGTCAAAAATAACCCATTGTTGTCAGCATATGTATTTAAAAATCAAAATCACATTTAATGAAGATCCCAGTGTAGCACATGTACAAACATACAGGTATAATGGCTCAGTTTGCCCCATTGTCCTTTTTAGTGCTGTGTAAAAAAGTAGAAGAGTGCAGAGCTAAAAGTACTTGTTAAAAAGAGCACATCACCAAGATAAGATGGCTTAAAAGCAGGTACAGTGACCACTTGTGAAGTTACAACCATTTGGTCTCTCTGTACACTGCCAGGCAGTAAGCAATGGCACACACCTGAGGCTTTATGTTTCACACCAGTGTCTCATTATTACACTCCCATGTGATTAAGTGCTAAAAGGGCCGATCTGACAAAACACCAAAAGAAAAAGAGATAAAAGTATTGACCCATATTTTGTGCATACTGACACGTAGACATGCGAACGCTGCTGTCACACCCACTCCTTGGGGTTTTTTAACACCTCCAGCATCTCAGCCTCCTGGGTACCTTTGGCAGGCTCATGCATATACTCCCACCTGAGGATGAATGGTGAATTTGTTACCAGGCTACACAGGCAGCTTGTTATATGCATCAGATAAAAACAGGTCTCAGCTTACTTGGCAGTGAGAGGGAGGGACATGAGGATACTCTCGATTCTGGAGCCAGGTGTTGCCAGGCCAAACTTCACTCCCCTGTCATACACTAGGTTGAACTCCACATACCTACAACATAAACACACATTACATAATATTAAGTCGATTATTCAGACCTCTTGTGCCTTAATCCAGACCACAACGTGTTGGAATTCTGAATGAGGATTTAGCTTCCCTGAGATCAGCTATTTGTTTCTTTTCACAGAATTTCAAGTACTGTATTAAAATTTGACTAGGACATTTCTTGGGATATGGTAAATGGACTTAAACTTGTTTAGTGCTTTTTTTATGCATTATAGCACACTCAAAGTGCTTAAACACTATTTGCCCATTCACTCAGCTGCACTCCCAAGCACACACACACACACACCAGTGGAACAGCCACCAGGTGCAACGTGGGGTCCAACATCTTGGACTCTTCGATGTGTGGACTGGAGAAGCCAGGGATCAACCTGCCAACCCTCCGGTTAGGAGACGACCCACTCCACCTTCTCAGCCACAACTGCCCCAATTAAGGTAATCCAGCACAGTAAACATTTGTGACCTTTATTTTTGGCAAAAGTTACTGTCGTACAAGAACTGAAGTCTTCTAGGCTGGTGTATTCATGTGCTCCTTAATCGCTCTGATATAGTGGTCGTCAGTGGTGGAAGAGGTACTCAGATTCTATACTCAAGTAAAAGCAGCTATACCAGTGTAAAAATACTCTGTTACAAGTAAAAGTCCTGCCTTCAGAATTTACTTGAATAAAAGTCCCATTAGCATCAAAATGTACTCAAAGTACCAAAAGTAAAAGTACTCATTATGCAGAATAGCACATTTCACATTAATGTATATTATATTATTGGATAATAATTACCAATACATTTTTGTATACATTACATTTAACGCTGCAGCTGGTTAAGGTGGAGCTCATTTTTTACTACCTTATATATGCTGTATATGATGTAGCAGAAAATAGAAAAACCTCAAAACTGTACTTAGGTACAGCATGGGAAAATATACTTAGTTACTTTCCACCTCTAGGCACGGCTACAGTGCATCATCACCTTTGGTAATGTTAAAGTAACCAAATTCACTTCCTCTGTCCATCTTTGTTTATTGTTTGTCACCAACAACAAAATTTATATGCATGTTCAACCGTTTACATAAGTTCACTGATGAGACTGATCCCTGGCTCATTCACCACAGTCCTGACTCATTTTTCCTTCTACATCCTACCTAATCTCACCCATCTGGCCTGAGTGTCTAGCTCACTACCCCACTTCTTGCCGTTCACAAATTAGCTCCGTAGCTCTTTTCCTCTGTTGTGACCTGCTCATAAATGAGTCCCCTGGGAGGCAGTGAGCTCTTCCAGGATCTGCTCCAGTTTCAGACCACGCAGGCTGTGCACAGGCCGAGTCACACCAAAATGTTTTTATAAATCCCTTGTATCTCACTCAGGAGTGTCAAATTGTTTTTTAATTCAGGTTTTACAAAATAAAGGCAACTAAATGTTAAACATGATCAACTAACAAACAAATTTAATGATGTGCAAGTTTATTTATAGGCCATCATAGCAGATTTGGTTGACTTTTTAATGGTACATATGGAGAATCAAGGTCAGGATTAGTAAATACAGCTCATTTCAAATGTTCTGCTTTAATAGCTGATCAATATAAGTGATAAGTGACTGAAAGCAACTGGAATGGGCTATAAAATGGAAAGTCACCTTGCAAATTCTTCTTTTCACAATCTCCTATGTAGAATCTAAGCATTATTTATTATCAGCCACTGGTTCTTTCGTGTGTCTTTCACTCACCGGCCTCGTCGTATCTGCTGCCAGTCCTTCTCCTCAGCAGTAAACGAGTCATTGAGATGTTTGGATACAATGGGCAGATAACAGGGCACCACAGTGCGGGCACAGCTCTTGACAAAGTTGAACACCTCTTCTTGACTTGGGGAGTCCAGGTCATCGAAGAAGATCCCTCCTATTCCCCGAGTCTCTCCTCTGTGGCGGACGTAGAAGTATCGGTCACACCTAGAGAGCAGAAGATGGTTTGGAAAATAGTTTGGTTTTCTTGTTAGGAAGATGATGTTGGGTGAAGATTCAATGTTGGATAAGAAAGAGTGCACAAACTTCACATTACCTACTTAATTGCTCCTCCTGTTTCAACCAGGTCTGAGGGGTTGATATCAAAATGGATTTTAGATTTATATCTTAGATTGTTTTTCCCCTTTATTAAGGGAATAATTGGAGTTTTTCAAGTTGGTGTTAAAACAATAGTGACGTATCCATATATACATGAGAATAGGTCTTAGTCTTTGTCACTTCTTCTACTCTTAACTCTGACCCTGAATATTCTCACCAGGAACACCTCTACACCGCAAAAAGGGGCCAAAATACACAACTCTTGTTCTGTGTTAAAAAAAAAACTGCTTCCCTCTTTTATTTCCCTGGACAGCATCTTTCTGAGCTAGAGCGGAAGGACACATTATAGCAGCGGTGTGTACGGGTATGTTCACTTCAGAGTGAGTTTTTGCACAAAACGAGAGTTGTGTATTTTGGCCCTTAGTTTTCGCAGTGTAGAGGTGTTCTAGGTGGAAACATTCAGGGTCAGTCCCGAGAGTAGGAGAAGCGACAATGACTAAGACCTCTTCTCACAAACATATGGATACATCACTATTGTTTTAACACCAATCTGAAAATTCCCAAAATGTTCCTTTAAATTTCAATGTAGCTGCACTGCACAGTACCAAACAACAAACTGGATAAATTGACTCAAACAAATAAACTAACTGCTGTAATCTTTTTTTTTCCACTGTCTTTTTTCAAAGCAGGGTTGGACTAGAAAATATTCAGTAGGTTTGGTCTGTGCCAAGATATTAAGGCAATCATAAGACGCTGTTAAAGGTTTAGCTATGAAAAAGTAATTAAAAAAGGTTAGGTAGTAGTATATTTATAGTGGAACAGTGGTATTTTTAAAAGGTACTGCTTTTTAACTGCTCCTTGTTTTTTTTTTTGTTTGTTTGTTTAATTTTGTTTGGCTCACTGTTTAAAACAATACCATTATATTTTTTGGAAATATGCTCATAATTTAAAAAACAAATCTTCGTACCCTCAGCTCTAAAGCTCAGCCCAGGCTCATTAGCTACAGGCTGCAGCTCGATATTTAACAGGACAGACATGAAAGTTGTATCAATCTTCTTATTTGAACCCAAGCTGATTTTGTATGTTTGCCTACTAACAAAGAAATGATCAGTCTACAATTTCAATGGTAGGTTTATGTGAACAGTGAAAGACACAACAATAACAAAAAAATCCAGAAAAATGCATTACAAAAAAAGTTATAAAGTAATTTGCATTTTCATAAATGAAATAAGTATTTGATCCCTTTGCAAAACGTGCTTTAGTACTTGGTGGCAAAACCTTTGTTGGCAATCACAGAGGTCAGACGTTTCTTGTAGTTGGCCACAAGGTTTGCACACATCTCAGGGGGGATTTTGACCCACTCCTCTTTGCAGATCCTCTCCAAGTCATTAATGTTTCGTGGCTGATGTTTGGCAACTCGAACCTTCAGCTCCCTCCACAGATTAAGGTCTGGAGACTGACTAGGCCACTCCATGACCTTAATATGCTTCTTCTTGAGCCAATCCTTTGTTGCCTTGGCCATGTGTTTTGGATCATTGTCATGCTGGAATACCCAACCACGACCCATTTTCAATG